GCATTAGTAATCTTGGCGAGTATAGCGATTTATATTTGAAAACAGACGTTCTGTTGTTGGCAGACGTTTTTGAGAATTTTCGCGACAAATGCATACGGAGTTACGATTTGGATCCCGCTCATTATTACACGTTACCGGGGTACACGTGGGATGCTATGTTGAAACATACGGGTGTTCAATTCGAATTGTTGACCGATATCGATATGCTTCTCTTTGTTGAACGTGTACGCGGTGGTCTGAGTCAGTGTTCCAACAGATACGCGCGAGCTAATAATAAGTATCTTTCGTCACACGATCCGTTGAAACCGTCGACATATCTCATGTACTATGACGTGAATAATCTCTACGGATGGGCTATGTGTGAATCATTGCCGTACGCGCAGTTTCAATGGGTCAGCGACGTGGAGAGTGTAGACGTAATGTCTGTGACCGCGGATTCCGATATCGGCTACATTATGGAGGTGAATCTTGCATATCCGCGCGAGCTCCACGACGCCCACGCGGACCTTCCGTTCTGCCCAACGCGCGCCTCACCCCCCGGCAAGGTTACCGATAAGCTTCCAGCGACGCTTCACGATAAGTCGCGCTATGTCATACATTATCGCAATTTGCAGCAATGTGTGCGTTATGGGATGCGTATACTTAAAATTCATCGCGTTTTACACTTTGCACAATCACCATGGCTGCGTGGATACATCGAACTGAATACAATGTTTAGAACTCGTGCGAATAACGAATTCGAGAGAAATATGTATAAGCTTATGAACAACGCGGTTTACGGGAAGACAATGGAAAACGTGCGCGAGCACGTTGACGTGCGTCTTGTGACGCGTTGGGAGGGAAGGTACGGAGCGGAAGCGCTAATTTCAAGGCCGAATTTCCACAGTAGAAGCATTTTCTCCGAGGATCTGATGGCCGTTGAGTTACGGAAACTGGAGGTAAAGCTCGTGAAACCAATCTACGTTGGCATGGCCATTCTGGAGATATCAAAAACGCGATTATACGATTTTCATTATGATTATATGGTGCCCTTGTATCGCGGTGTGTGTAAGGTAATGTACACAGATACGGACAGTCTGATTTATTTCGTCGAATGTGACGATATTTATGAGGATATGAAACGCTCCATTGAAAGATTCGACACGAGCGACTATGCCGAGAACAACGCGTACGGTATGCCGCGCGCGAACAAGAGCGTTCCGGGTCTGATGAAGGATGAGAATCGTGGCGCGATTATGATAGAATTCGTAGGTTTGAGAGCGAAGATGTATGCCGTGAGAGTGCTCGGAATGAGCGACACGAAAAAGATAAAGGGTGTAAAGAGAAACGTAGTCGAGAGAACGATAACGTTCGACGATTTCATGCAATGTTTGCGCGATATAACGGAGCAGTCGAGATCGCAATTCTGCGTGCGGTCGAGACTGCATGAGGTGTACACCGTTTCCGAAACGAAACTCGCTCTCAGTCCTCACGACGACAAGCGATACGTCATGCTCGAATCCTACGATACTTTGCCTTGGGGACATTACAGGGTGCCATAATAATAATACATATATACAAATTTATACCT